CGCGCTGGCGGCCCCGTCGCCCCCCGCGGGCTGAGGAGGCCCTGGCGGCTCCCCCGGGCGGGCGGCATGGGGCGCCCCCCCCTGGACGCGGGAGGCCGGGGGGGGCGGCAGGCGCGCGGGGCCTGCTGAGGAGCGCGGCTTGGGGGCCGCTTTAACCCAGGCCCCCTCGCGCTGGGAAACCAACGCGACGGGAGGCGCTGCGCGACGGGAGGACGGTTTTGGGACCCTGGAGGCCCCGGTCGCCCGAGACATCCTCGGAGGACGACCCGAGTCCCAAAACCGTGCGGTGACCCCGAATCCCCACCAACTCGCCGCACGGTGTGGACACCGCCCCGTCTGGGGACCCCCGAGATTTTCTGCCTCCCAAGGCCCTTCCCGGGCCTCGGGACCGTCAAAAAACAAGTCATGGGGAAAAAGAAACCGGTCCCCGGGAAGGGGCCCAGACTGCTGAAGTGGAGGCCTCCCAGATGGTGTCGGAGTAGATGGGGTCGGAGGATCGCGCCGCATCGCCGATGCATCGGCGATGTATCGGCGATGCATCGGCAATGCATCGGCGACGTCGACGATGCATCGGCGACGCTTGCGTGGGGAAACACGGGCTCCACATCGAGCCGCATCGCCGATGCATCGCCGATGCATCGGCGATGCGGCGCGATCCCCCGACCCCATCTACTCCGAACCCATCCAGGAGGCCCAGACGAGGGGCATGTCACAAAAAAATCACGACGTCGGGGGTCGCTTAATGAGGGGGGCGATGAATGAGAGGGGAGCATTTGGAAAATTCTTGGAGCGCCGGGATGAACTCTCCGAGTCCCCCCCCGGCCCTGGCCGACTGGTCGACTGGCCGACTGGTCGACTGGGCGACTGGCCGACTCCCCGACGGGCCGACTGGCCGACTGCGGAGTCGGAAAGTTCTTTCCGTTGCCTCAGAAATTGTCCCTCTCTGGGGGGCGAAAATTGTACTTTTATATATAAGAAATAAAGAAATAAATAAATATATAAATAAATAAATAAATAAATAAATAAAAAATGAATAAATAAATAAACACATAAATAAATAAAAATAATAAATAAATAAATAAATGAATAAATAAATAAATACAGTACATACATCAATAAATAGATAGATAGATAAATAACTAAAAATAATAAATAAATAAATAAATAAATGAATAAATAAATAAATAAATACATTTAAATAAATATATACTATGTTTCATTTATGTTTAATGTTTATTGTTTTGGGGGGTGGGGGCGAAAAGTGCACTCGTCGGGCCCCGAAGGCTCCCTTTGGGGTCCTCGAGGGGCCCCCTGAAGGGCCCCTCGAGGGGCCCCTCTTCGGCAGCCCTCGCTGCCCCCCCGTCGGATCGCCCCCCCCCCCCCAATTACGTGACGGCCGAGCGGGGTCAAAGGCTCCCCCAAGCCAGGAGGGGGGCAGAGAGTTCGAGGGCAGGCGGCCCTGAGCCGCGAGGGGGGAGAAAGGCAGAGAGAGAGAGAGAGAGAGAGAGAGAGAGAGCGAGGGCGAGGGCGAGGGCGAGGGCGGCGAGGAGGCCGAGGACGGCGAGGGGAGGGGGCAGAGCGGGGGGGGGCAGGGGCGGGCCGGGGCGGGCTTCTCCGACGCCGCAGGACGGGGGAGGCGCCGCGGATGCCCCACTGGAAACCTCGCGGCGGAGGGTCGGAGAGAAGACCCGCCACCGTGCCGCGAAGCAGCGGATGGCGCGTCTCCACTTCCCCTCAGAGCCCCCAGTCCCCCACACGGAATACTGCACATGCTCTCCAGGGAGCCGGGGCGCCCAAGTCACGGCTGGCCCTGGCTCCCGCGCGCCCCTCCCGGGGCTCCCCGCGCGGCCTGTCCCGAGGCGCCAGAGACGCCAAGAGGACCCCAAGAGGCCTCCAGGGCGGCCCAAGAGAGCCCCAAGACGGACCAAGACCGCTCCAAGACGCCCACGATGGCCCCCCGACGGCCCCAAGAGGGCCCCAAGAGGACCGGGCGTGGTCCCCAAGAAACCAAAGACATTGAAGCTCAAATCAGTGTTGTCTCACCACGTCTGGCTTCCACCGCTCCAGGGCGCCCCCAAGATCGCCCGGAGACGGCCGAAGAGGCCCCAAGGAGGGCCCTGCGATTGCCCAAGAGGACCCCAACACGGCCCACTGGGTCTCTGAGGGCTCCAAGACGGCCCGAAAGGGCCGCAAGAAGGTCCCAACATGAGCCCAAGAGAAGAATGCGACACGACATGTGAAGCCCGCTGCCCAAACACGACCCCCGAGACAACCAGCAGGCCCCTGAGAGGTCCCCCAGAAGCGACCACGGCGCCCCCGAGAGGCATCCCCAAATACCCGTATGTGAATCCAAGAGGCCTCTGGTTCACAGAGCCGAAGGCCACTAGATCCGCCGCCCCATTGTTCCCTGCGCGATGGGCTGGTGACGCGCAGGGTGGTAGCCGCTCGAACACTTCCACAAGGTTCCAACTGGCCTGCAGGTCAACCCGCCGGCCGACCAGACAATATCTCCCGTGTGCTCTTTTTTTCCCTCGGGTACCGAGGCGATTATCTCAATCGCCAAGATGATGGCAGTGAACTTTTACCGCCAGCGGGAAAAAAAAACGTCAGCGCCTGCAGACATGAGACTCACGCTAAATTAATGTGACAGCCGCTGAATCGAGAGCATCGGAGATCTTAAAAGCAGCGATGTAGTGACAGTAGTAGCTATGTTGCGCGCATCGGTGGGATATGCTTCGCCGGTCGAACCATCGCACAATTTGTCGATGATAAGTTCGAGCTCATCATCTAGGGTCCGCTGTCCAGTATAGCTGGTTGGCTGGCAATTTCTGCACAATGGGCCTTGAGAGTCTTCTTTCATTGTTTTTAATGTTGGCCCTCCCACCCCTCAAGTTAAACACCCCCCGGGACCCGATGCAAAACACATAGGAAGATGTTGATCCAATGTCAATCCAAAATATGAATTCACACTATCCTGGGGGGGCGGTATCGACCCCCCCCGCCATCCTCTGCAAAAAAAGTATGCGCGCCCACGCGTTTACCAAAAATCAGAAGTCTTCAATAATTCCCCAAAAAATGACGAAGTGCACACGGTGCACACGCGCGCGTCGTCGCGCGCGCATGCCGAAATCCCTCAAAAACCTTCGGGCCTGGAAGGATTTCAAAAACGAGTTTCAAAAAAACATACAAAAAACACAAGGTTTCGCAACACTGATGTTATAAAAAGATTACGCGCGCGCTCTTGCGAATCTTGTTTTTGATGAGAGAACCCAAGATTCTAAAACATACTACCAAACGGGCTTCGCGCGCACATGTCGAAATCTTTCGAACGTAGTTGCATTGCGTTGCCACCGTCGCCGTTGCTTGTTGTGGGAGTGTGGGCAGGAGGCCAGGGTTGCAAATGAACTCGTGCTAGCCAGACTTACTTGCCGTCTGCGCGCATGAGATCTCTGCGCCTGGCGCCCCGACCAGCGCTGGCGCAGTCGACCGCTAGGCAGATCTGGTACACAAGGCCAGAGAGGCACTCCTCAGACTGCACCTGGCTCTTCGACGCCGACGCCCAGGACTTGGAAGCAGCACCCCACCACGAGCCAGCAGTTGAGTCAGCAGCCCCCTCGCCCCGATGGGTCCTGACGCGGAGCGGCGTCGCGCCTGGAGCAGCCCGCGGAGCCGCGCGCATATGGCAGACAGGCGGGCGGGCGAAGGGGGGTGGACGATTGCGGAGAAGGACTGCAGGGCCGTGGTTCTTGCGCCCATGGGCGCTGTTTTTAGAAACCAGCGAACTCCACGTCAGTTTTCTCAAGACAAAAATTTGTTGGCCCGGCGATCGACGCGCGAGTGGTCGGGTTATGTCGACGGTCGAACCCGCCGCGAACTGGCTTCGGCTTTAACAATAGTCAGAAGATACTCCGAAATGGTCAAAACTGGTCAAAAAGTCGTCCCCCTCCTGCAGAGGGACAGGCCCGACTTACGGGTAGCGGCAGGGGTACCTTTTCCTCCTCCGAGGCGCCTCTCTCGACTACACGCAAGCGTGACCCTGGGTAAGAGTGACCTTTGGTGCGCGGCTTCTGGGGGGCCGCGGGGGGACCGAGCACAGGCGCGCAAGACGTCACTACCGCACCAGGCTCTGCGATCGGGGGACCCCGTTGGGCCCGCAGCAGGGCCGTTTTTCCACCGTTTCCGAAAAAGTGTCCCTTGAAAATGGAAGCGGCCAAAAAACGGCGACGGCAACAAAAACGGAACCAGAACCGGAACTGGTCACAAAACGGCGACGGAACGGGTAAAAAAGCGGCGTCGGAGCCCGCAAACAAAAACGGCAAAAACCGGAACCGGCGAAGCAAAAAACGGCCCTGCCGCTGCCAGGGCCCACTGAGGGCCCGCACCAAAGGTCACGGCGGCGGCAGGTCCCTCTCGCGTGTCGTCGGCTCCCAGACCCCCGACGTCATGATTTTTTCATGACGCGACCTCCAGAGGTCCGGACCGATTCCCCGGGACCGGTTTTTCATCCCGAGTCGTTTTTTGACGGTCCTGAGGGCCGGTAAGGGCCCCTGGAGGCCGAAAATAGCGAAAAACCTCCCGTCGTGATTTTTTCATGACTCGAGGGGGTCTGGGCTCGTGTCGTCGGCTCTCTTTTGGCGGCGGCCGCGCGCGGAGGCGGAGACGCCAGCGCGGGGCGCGCGCCGCGGCCGCGGGCCTCCGCGCCCGCCGGCCTCCGCGCCCGCCGGCTGGGCAGCCGCCGGGGGTTGGCCCCCCGAGCGGCGGAGCGGGAGCGGCGCTCAGCGACTCGCCCCCGCGGGGAGCCCATCAGCGCTCCTCCTCTTCCCCCTCCCCCTCCTCCTCCCCCTCCTCCTCCTCCTCCTCCTCCTCCTCCCCCTCCTCCTCCTCCTCCTCCTCCTCCTCCTCCTCCTTCTCCTCCTCCCCCTCCTCCTCCCTCCTCCTCCTCCTCCTCCTCCTCCTCCCCCTCCTCCTCCCCTCCTCCTCCTCCTCCTCCTCCTCCTCTCCCTCCTCCTCCTCCTCCTCCTCCTCCTCCTCCTCCTCCTCCCTCCTCTCCTCCTCCTCCTCCTCCTCCTCCTCCCCTCCTCCTCCTCCTCCTCCTCCCCCTCCTCCTCCCCCTCCT